TCCATCTATCCTGTTATCATAGCTTCCTTCACTCACCTACCCTGTTACCATAGCTTCCTTCACTCCACCTACCCTGTTATCATAGCTTCCTTCACTCCATCTACCCTGTTACCATAGCTTCCTTCACTCCACCTACCCTGTTATCATAGCTTCCTTCACTCCATCTACCCTGTTATCATAGCTTCCTTCACTCCACCTATCCCGTTATTATAGCTTCCTTTCCACCTGTTTCTTTTAGTCTCATTATCGGATTTACTTTTATAGTCATCATTATCGAGTCTTCTCTCTTATCTCCTAACTATTCCATTCCTTTACTTCTCGTTCTGTTTGTTCTTAAAAATACATTCCATCCTCCCTCCTCCTCCTCCTCCTCACCCTCTTCTTCCTCCTCTTTCTTCCTCCTCCTCTTCTTTTTCTTCTTTCTCGCCCTCCTCCTCCTCCTCCTCCTCCTCCAGAAATCTCTCTTCTTCGTCTCCCACAACGGCCATCCAGCTCTTGCAATCTCATTTCCATCTTGCTGAGCTACGACTGGGGAGGGGGAGGGAGGGAAGATGGAGTGGGGGGTAGGGGAGGGGGAGGGGAAGGGGAAGGGGAAGGGGAGGGGAACTTTTACAAAAACGTAATTTAGCCCCACAACATGGATACGTGTGTTAACCTATTAGAATCCGTCGAAAAATCGTTACAATTTCACATCTGTTATATTGCGTTGACGGGTGCGGCAGCTGAGTGGATAGAGCGTTCGCCTCCCGTCCTAAGGGTCGTAAGTTCGATCCCCGTGGTACTCTTAGTTCAACCCAGCTGTAAATGGGTACCTAACTTTACAAGCTGGGGATGTGAAGGCTGTTAAGTGTAGTATCATTCACGGTGTCAGTGTGTTTATCCGTATAACGTGTGTCGTATTCACACTATCTCTAATGGGCAGTCATTCATGCCTCTAAAACCCACTTTCTTATTATACTGTGTTGAACTGTTTCTTGATGAAGGTGTTAAGGCTGGCAAGATAACCAACCTTTCTCTTGTGTTATATTGGGACTGAGAACATATAGTAATTGTATAGAGTAAAAATAACAACACGAATCTTGATAATGATAACATAATGTGTGGTTAGAACAATAACAACAACAACAATAACAGCAACACATCCAGAAATATATATATTATTTGTGTTGCATTTGTTTTGAGTGTAGTGAAGCATCAGAGGTAGTATAAGTTATTATACCTAGTGTGGTGTTAAAGCTGGTATACCCTGGATAATGTAATCTAGTGTCCTGCATTATGTTATCAACTGTTCAAACTCGTGTACATTAATGGTATTGGTATTTCGGATAATGAGTTTTTCATCACTTAATACCGCCATTAACGTATACTGAACAACGCTAACAGGAGGCCTAGGCTTGGGGCGGGGGGGGTTGGATGGCGGGGGTTAGGGGTTTTGTTCTGCCGGATAGAATTTTTTTTTGTTTTTTCAGACAGGAGAAACAACAAATCCCAACAGGTATCAGGGCCTCAGTGTGTTTGTCAGGGCCACAGTGTCTTTGTCAGGGCCACAGTGTCTTTGTCAGGGCCACAGTGTCTTTGTCAGGGCCACAGTGTCTTTGTCAGGGCCACAGTGTCTTTGTCAGGGCCTCAGTGTCTTCCTCCCGGGTGACATAATGGCCCTGGACGATCTTGGTAGACGACTGATTTAAGGAGGCCCTTGAGAGGTGATCTGGAAAACTCGATGGCTATACGACTAAAGGCTATCTAGTCTTTGTTGACTTGTTTATCTCACCTTAAGAAGTAAAAAAGATAACACTAATGATCTATAAGACACCTGTATGGTTCTTTATCTTCTAATAGTACATAAGTTGTTTATCCTCACACACACATATCAATTAGTCAGTGAAATGTATTACGCTGTTTGTCAATACGCACCGAAGTTAAGCTGATTATTGGCTAAAGCTAATTAAGAGTCCTCGTGTTGATTTTCCATGGGTCGTATTAGTGTTTACCCTTTAACGCTAGGGGCGCTGACTTCCATCACCCGCTGGCCTGTTGACTCTCCTGTCGGACTTAATTTCCCGTTTGGTGTTAGATTTAGTTTATGGTGATAGTACCAGTCTCTCTTTGTGTTGTGTGTGAGTGTATGAGGTTATCGTAGACTCAAACACTATATAGGGTTGTGTACTATACAAAATACACTGTAAATAATGAATATGTATACGAATAATAGTATTGCTAGTTATCAGAAATTTGTGTATTGAGTGACGTCGTCTTGCTGCCAGGATAATAATAACAAACTGTTTATCCCCAGTTCGCCAGAGTGCTTCGATGATTCAGTTAAAGAATAACAAAGTGTTTGAAATCTTTTTGGGTGAATATTCATCCACTGAATATTCGTCAGCTAAGAAGAATATTTACCAAAATATGTCAGGGATTATACCAACATGGCGAGAAAATAGGTAAGTAATACATTATTTAATTATTAGAAGATATATAAACTTTTCAGGTATATACTGGCTAACCTAACCTAACCTAACCTAACCTAACCTAGTCCAAATTACATGCATAAAATCCCCTTTTTTTTTATTTAACCCCTTGAGTACGAGGACCTTACATTCATCATACTCAAGGGGTTAAAATCATTGTACTCAAGGGGTTAAAATCATTGTACTCAAGGGATTAACACCATCGTACTCAAGGGGTTAAAATCATCGTTCTCATGGGGTAAAAATCATCATACTCAAGAGGTTAAAATCATTGTACTCAAGGGGTTAAAATCATTGTACTCAAGGGGTTAACACCATCGTACTCAAGGGGTTAAAATCACCATACTCAAGATATTAACACCATCGTACTCAAGGGGTTAATACCATCGTACTCAAGAGGTTAACTGTACTCAAATTAACTTCAGTAGTTCATAGTATACTCGTAGTCTAAACCTGTTTCATCTACAGCTTCTCGTTTTAGTTTGAAGTTTCACATTGGACATCAGTTTTAATTTTTTTTGGAGTTACAGTTATCGTTTCAAGTTTCATTTATTAGTATACATGTAAACTCCTCGTGTGTATGTGTGTAAACTGGCATGTGTTTTTGTGGGTTCCTTGTGTGTATGTCTGTAAAATGAGTCTTGTTCTTGTGTGTACGTCTGTAAACTGAGTCTTGTTCTTGTGTGTACGTCTGTAAACTGAGTCTTGTTCTTGTGTGTACGTCTGTAAACTGAGTCTTGTTCTTGTGTGTATGTCTGTAAACTGAGTCTTGTTCTTGTGTGTATGTGTGTAAAATGAGTCTTGTTCTTGTGTGTATGTCTGTAAACTGAGTCTTATTCTTGTGTGTACGTCTGTAAACTGAGTCTTGTTCTTGTGTGTACGTCTGTAAACTGAGTCTTGTCTTGTGTGTACATCTGTAAAACTGAGTCTTGTTCTTGTGTGTACTGTACTAGTCTGTAAACTGAGTCTTGTTCTTGTGTGTATACGTCTGTAAACTGAGTCTTGTTCTTGTGTGTACATATCTAAACTGAGTCTTGTTCTTGTGTGTATGTCTGTAAACTGAGTCTTGTTCTTGTGTGTATGTCTGTAAACTGAGTCTTGTTCTTGTGTGTATGTCTGTAAACTGAGTCTTGTTCTTGTGTGTATGTCTGTAAACTGAGTCTTGTTCTTGTGTGTATGTCTGTAAACTGAGTCTTGTTCTTGTGTGTACGTCTGTAAACTGAGTCTTGTTCTTGTGTGTACGTCTGTAAACAGAGTCTTGTTCTTGTGTGTACGTCTGTAAACTGAGTCTTGTTCTTGTGTGTACGTCTGTAAACTGAGTCTTGTTCTTGTGTGTACATCTGTAAAATGAGTCTTGTTCTTGTGTGTATGTCTGTAAACTGAGTCATGACCTTGTGTGTACTTCTGTAAACTGAGTCTTGTTCTTGTGTGTACATATGTAAACTGAGTCTTGTTCTTGTGTGTACATATGTAAACTGAGTCATGACCTTGTGTGTATGGATTAAGTCTTGTTCTTGTGTGTCCTTCATAAACTGTGAGTCTTACTGTGTGTTCATCAGGCCATAACTATTACTAACTCAGTCTAATGGTCTCATGACACGACCTCTTAACTCTCTCTATTTACATACATTCTTAAGGTCGTCACTTAATTTACCTCTCTGGTGGTC